CTACTCTCCTAGCCCACACCCACCACTCTCCTCGCCCACACCCACCACTCTCCTAGCCTAAACCCACCACTCTCCTTGCTCACACCCACTACTCTCCTGGCCCACACCCACCACTCTCCTAGCCCACACCCACCACTCTCCTAGCCCACACCCACCACTCTCCTTGCCCACACCCACCACTCTCCTAGTCCACACCCACTACTCTCCTTGCCCACACCCACCACTCTCCTAGCCCACACCCACCACTCTCCTTGCCCACACCCACCACTCTCCTAGTCCACACCCACCACTCTCCTTGCCCACACCCACCACTCTCCTAGTCCACACCCACCACTCTCCTAGTCCACACCCACTACTCTCCTCCCCACACCGCCACTCTCCTCGCCCACTCCCACCACTCTCCCGCAACACCCACCACTCTCCCCATCAACATCCATTACTCACCCCGCCCACACCCACCACTCTCCTAGCCCACACCCACCACTCTCCCAGCCAACACCCACCACTCTCCCTGCCAACACCCTCCACTCACCCTGCCCACACCCACCACTCACCCTGCCCACACCCACCGCTAACCCTGCCCACACCCACCACTCTCCTAGCCCACACCCACCACTCTCCCCGTCAACACCCACCACTCTCCCCGCCAACACCCACCACTCACCCCGCCCACACCCACCGCTCACCCGAACACATCCACCACTCTCCACGCCCACACCCACCACTCTCCTCGTCCACACCCACCACTCTCCTCGCCCACTCCCAACACTTCCCCGCCAACACCCACCACTCTCCCCGCCAACACCCACCACTCTCCCGCCAACACCCACAAACACACCCCGCCCACACCACCATACACCCCGCCACACTCATGGTCTTCAACTGTGTTTATATATTCATTGTCTTGTATTTTTCGTTGCATTCCAATGATAATTAAGTTTAAGTCTTAATTTCATAATTTAATCTTCTTCACATTGTTTCTTCATAATTCTTATAATCTAATTATTCTATCGTTATCATGTTTTATTCAATATTTTATATTTATATTATTATTATTAAAGATTCGCGGTATTCTCCCGGCCCGGGCCTTTTCCAAGTGGTGGCCCGGCCTTGGCTCCCTCTTTAGGTAGTGTCTGAGACTTAAGTCTGACATGGGAGGAGGTACAAGTACCCCCTCATCTTTGGGACCAACTGTCCCCAGGCCTAGCCACATTCCCCGCCCTCACCGGGCTCGTAGGGAGAAGCTAGGCCTCTCTGGTCTGCCATCCTCGCCCTAAGGGGGCTAATGGGAATGACAGTCTTGTGAGGTGCAAGCTCTGGCCCTGGCAACTACCCTGGCCCTGGCACCTACCTGCCTGGCACCTACCCTGGCCCTGGGCACCTACCCTGCCCTGGCACCTACCTGCCCTGGCACCTACCCTGCCCTGGCACCTACCCTGCCCTGGCACCTACCCTGGCCCTGGCACCTACCCTGGCCCTGGCACCTACCCTGCCCTGGCACCTACCCTGGCCCTGGCACCTACCCTGGCCCTGGCACCTACCCTGCCCTGGCACCTACCCTGGCCCTGGCACCTACCCTGCCCTGGCACCTACCCTGCCCTGGCACCTACCCTGCCCTGGCACCTACCCTGCCCTGGCACCTACCCTGCCCTGGCACCTACCCTGCCCTGGCACCTACCTGCCTGGCACCTACCCTGCCCTGGCACCTACCCTGCCTGGCACCTACCCTGCCCTGGCACCTACCCTGCCCTGGCACCTACCCTGCCCTGGCACCTACCCTGCCCTGGCACCTACCCTGCCCTGGCACCTACCTGCCTGGCACCTACCCTGCCTGGCACCTACCCTGCCCTGGCACCTACCCTGCCCTGGCACCTACCCTGCCCTGGCACCTACCCTGCCCTGGGCACCTACCCTGCCCTGGCACCTACCCTGCCCTGGCACCTACCCTGGCCTGGCACCTACCCTGCCCTGGCACCTACCCTGCCCTGGCACCTACCCTGCCCTGGCACCTACCCTGCCTGGCACCTACCCTGCCCTGGCACCTACCTGGCCCTGGCACCTACCCTGCCTGGCACCTACCCTGCCCTGGCACCTACCCTGCCTGGCACCTACCCTGCCCTGGCACTACCCTGGCCTGGCACCTACCCTGCCCTGGCACTACCTGCCCTGGCACCTACCCTGCCCTGGCCTACCCTGCCCTGGCACCTACCCTGCCCTGGCACCTACCCTGCCCTGGCACCTACCCTGCCCTGGCACCTACCCTGGCCCTGGCACCTACCTGCCCTGGCACCTACCCTGCCCTGGCACCTACCTGCCCTGGCACCTACCCTGCCCTGGCACCTACCCTGCCCTGGCACCTACCCTGCCCTGGCACCTACCCTGGCCCTGGCACCTACCCTGCCCTGGCACCTACCCTGCCCTGGCACCTACCCTGCCCTGGCACCTACCCTGGCCCTGGCACCTACCCTGCCTGGCACCTACCCTGCCCTGGCACCTACCCTGCCCTGGCACCTACCCTGCCCTGGCACCTACCCTGCCCTGGCCCTACCCTTGCCCTGGCACCTACCCTGCCCTGGCACCTACCCTGCCCTGGCACCTACCCTGCCCTGGCACCTACCCTGGCCCTGGCACCTACCCTGCCCTGGCACCTACCCTGCCCTGGCACCTACCCTGCCCTGGCACCTACCCTGCCCTGGCACCTACCCTGCCTGGCACCTACCTGCCCTGGCACCTACCCTGGCCCTGGCACCTACCCTGCCCTGGCACCTACCCTGCCCTGGCACCTACCCTGCCCTGGCACCTACCCTGGCCCTGGCACCTACCCTGCCCTGGCACCTACCCTGCCCTGGCACCTACCCTGCCCTGGCACCTACCCTGCCCTGGCACCTACCCTGCCCTGGCACCTACCCTGCCCTGGCACCTACCCTGCCCTGGCACCTACCCTGCCCTGGCACCTACCCTGCCCTGGCACCTACCCTGCCTGGCACCTACCTCCCGGCACCTACCCTGCCCTGGCACCTACCCTGGCTGGGCACTCCCTGCCTGGATATTTTTTTATGTCCAATGTAACTATTATTAATGTAATATTATTAATGTAATATTATTAATGTAATATTATTAATGTAATATTATTAATGTAATATTATTAATGTAATATTATTAATGTAATATTATTAATGTAATATTATTAATGTAATATTATTAATGTAATATTATTAATGTAATATTATTAATGTAATATTATTAATGTAATATTATTAATGTAATATTATTAATGTAATATTATTAATGTAATATTATTAATGTAATATTATTAATAAGGTAACAAAGATGTCAGTGGAAATAAGTCACTCGACATTATTTTTTTTGTTTCCTAATGTATGTAAGTGTGTTTGTGTGTACCTGACTAAACTTAATTAAGACTGAGGGACTCATTACTTTATCTTTTCTATATAGTTCTACAGTCTTCAGAACATACCCTTGTATTGATAAAGCCTCTGGAGGGCGAAACGTCGACAAATATAGATTGCCAGATGTTGCTTATGTGTCTAATTATTTTACCTCAATACTGGCGAAAGGGAGAGTGCAGAGTGCGGCACTTGAAGCCAGAAGTGGCATTGACAAGTTATCACATAGAAACTACTCCATTCCCTTCCATTAACATGGTAAAGTTGAACCTGCCTAAAACCAAGTTGAACCTGACACTAAGCGAGGTAAATCAGGTTTGAACACTTCCTGCCAACCATAAGATGCATTCCCTAGTTTTCAGCACTGAAAGTTTGAAGCCAGTCGCATGAGCCATTCACAAATTATTAATGAAATCAATTATTTCAGTTTTCTCAGTTTGTCACAACAACAAAATGGCGCTGACACAGTTTAAAGTAATGATAATAATAATAATAATAATAATATAATAATAATAATAATAATAATAATAAATAATAATATAATAATAATAATAAAATAATAATAATAATAATAATAATAATAATAAATAATAATAATAATAATAATAATAAATCTTTATTTCTGCAGGTACATGATAATTTTGTCCCCGGGATGCGACCCACACCAGTCGACTAGCACCCAGGTATTTATTTTACTGCTCGGTGAACGTGGACGGCAGGTCTTGAACAAACGCGTCCTACTGCTTCCACTGTACCGGGGATCGAACCACGGACCTCACTGTGCGAGCCCGAGTGCGCTAGT